ATCAGGTCTCGGCAGGAGGTGCCGGAGAGAAAAGCCTGGACAACTTCCGAGTCACCGACGCTAGGCAACTCGGTGCGCTGCTTGGAAAAGCGCCGGATGAAGTCTCGGAGAGACTCATCCAGCTTCTGGCGACAACTCTTGAGGTCCCAGGAGTTCCCGGGGCGCACGTATGTGCCCTAGAAATTCCCGACGAAGACCTTGACCAAGTCGCGCCAGTTGTGAATTTGTGAGGGAGGGAGGTGTTCGAGCCAGGCTCGCGCCGAGTCTGACAGGAACAAAGGGAGGTTACGGATGATGAGCAAGTCATCGTTCGCACCGCCTAGCTGACAAGCCAGGCGATAGTCGGCCAGCCACAGCTCGGGGTTGGTCTCGCCACTATACTTTGCGAGATTGGCCGGTTGCCGGAACCGGGCAGGGAATGGAGCGCCGCGGATGGCCTTGCTGAAGACTCTAGGGCCAGGCGGCCTAGGAGAAGGACTGCGGTCCTCCCCGCTGTCGTAGCGGCCACCTCGGTGTGGGTGGTAACCTCGGGCGAGCCCGTCGTTGTTGTGGCGCCGTCGCCTGCTGACCATGTCGTGGTCCTCTTGCGCCTCGTGTCAGTCGCTGAGGCGGTCGTGGACTGAGGGGGCCTTGAGGCGATTGTGCACCGTGGGCCGCTTCGAGATGTTCTCATGTCGCCGAGACGCGGAGCTCTCGGCCTACTGTACTGCGGTGGTCTCAAGAAGGTCTCGGAGCTCGCCACGGACCCGTCGCCCCTCCGTGGTAGAGGGCTTGGGCATCGCTCGCACTAGCATCGCCGTCGCCGCGACGTTCTGGCTAGCGCGATTGAAGATTGGGGGTTGCTCACTTTATTCGTCGTTGTTGATGCGGCGGTGCACGTCGTGGGCCCTCTGCCGGGCCCCTCCACCGTCACCGCGGCCTTGCTGCTCCTACTCGAGAGTGTCTCAGAGCTGCTGCAGCAGGAGTCGATCTTGGTCGACTTTTGCCTAGAGCTCGCGGAGTTGCTCCAGGTCTAGGCGTCGGGTATCCCCGGGGGCGATGTTCACGTTCCGCACCGCTCGGAACTCGATGAGCGGGGGTGTGGCGTCACCCGCCCCTTGGCGGAGTGGGGACCGGTTGCCTGCCCTCTCCCCCTCGTCACTTGCCCCGGGCATTCCGAGACCGACATGGAAACACTCTCGAGTGGGATCATAAGTGCTTTCATCATCGGAGTCGGAGTGGCCAAAGTAGTAGTTGCTTGCGACCAAGAAGCGGCGCATAGCCTCGGGGTCACGAAGCCCGGAGAAGTCCGCTCCGGCCCATGCCTCGTCCTCCTCCGAGGAGTCAGTGTGGGTGTGGGTCGAGATTGTGGTGGAGAAGTCGAGGGCGAATCGTTGGTGGTGTCCCGAGAGCTCCGCGTGCGCGGAGGCATAAGCGAAAGCGTAGGAGGCGGCGATGTTTTTCAGCCCGAAGAGGTACGGGGATGGTGCCACCGCTGGGCTCCGCTCCGCCTGAGTCGATTCCCCCAAAAGCAGCGGGGCAGAGCTTGACGACGGGACGTCACTGCGTGCTACCGGCGTCCTTCCCCTGCCCATGCTTAGGCTAGACAGGTCCCCAGCCAGGGACTCTGTACCAACAGCTGGGCATGGGATGTCGGCGGAGTGCGGCGCATAGCCCTAAGTTCGCATGGCGTCGAGTAGTCCCTTTCGCGTGCGTGCACTCGGCGTGGCGGACGAGAGCGCGCGCGCGCTGCGCCCGCGCTCTCACGATCATGACATAATGTCGTCGTCGCCGATTGGTAGGGCTCACAGGTGTTAGGAGTACCATATCGTACTCACATCCTAGAGACATGAACTCTAGGCTCCCAAACCGCACCATCGTCTTGCAGATGTAGTGGGCGTATGGGGTTAGCCATTCGGAACTTGTTGGGACGATCACACTAACACGCAGAGGCCCCTACCTGGCGCGCCAACTGTCGGCGTTTCGGACCGGGGGGTCCTCAACCAACCAGTAAATGTGAACTGTGTGCCCCTAATCCCGGATGGTGATGCAAAGAGACACAAGGTTTATACTGGTTCAGGCAATCGGCGCCCTACGTCTAGTCTAGGAGATCGATCTTGTATTCCTTGCACAAGTGCTTGTAGTAGGGGTTACAAAAGTTTGGGTGAGAGAGGAGCTAGTCCTGTGTCTCGGTGTGGAGTGGTGCGGGCTGCTTGAGTCGTTGCTCTCAGGCAGCGTGGGAGCGCGCGTGAATTGAGTGAGTGCGTTTTTGCGTGAGGGCTGGCGTGGTCCCGATCCCTAGAAATGGCCCTGGCTGCTTCCTTTTATAGCCACAAGGAGGGAGCCAGGAGTACATGAGAGAGCTACATGTGGAGCCTTAGCGAGAAAGGAAGATCCAAAGATTATGGCCTATTCTCAGTGGCAAAGACAAAGTGTCGGGAATGGCAATTGGTACTTGATCACCGGCAAGGCCACGCAGCCATGCCCGAGGTCAAGTGAAGTCGTAAGAGTCCTTGTTGACGTCTAGTCAGTATGGCCTCCACTGTAGGTGACATGCCATGCCTGGTGGACTCTTGTCCTGGTGGAGTGCCGAGGCCTAGCGGGTGCTGGAGCTGATCGTGCCGAGGCCTTCTTTGCCGAGGCCTCGGAGGTGACCTATGTACGACGTGGGGGTCTTGGTGGTCTGTGTCGTACCCGATTCCGGTGAAAAAGTGTGGAATGGGCGTCCGCAGGGAGCTGTAGTCTCTGCACCGTCAGTAGAGGATGGTAAAAAGGTGATTTGACCGCCGTCCCCATCGCCTTTTGCCATACCTCATCAATCGTGGTGGTGACGTAGGCGTAACTAGGGGTACTTACACGGATGGGACGGCCCGCCGAGAGGGGCAATTGAGGCGAGGCGACGAGAATGCGGGATTTGAGCCCGCCTCGGCCGAGGCAAAGAAGGAATGGCGCGCGTCCGAGGCCTTTTGCCGGGGTCTCGACGACAAGCGAGACCGAGCAATTGGGGCTCCTGCTGCTTTCCGAGCCTCTGAGGACATGGACTCGACCTTCCATGCCGCTTTGTCCTTGGCGTGGGGTTAGGTAGCACAGGCGATATAAGTGTCAGGAGGGAGCACAGTGGTGAGTATAGTGGCAGGTAACCCCGCTGTGCTCGGTCCCCGCCCTATCGGTTGTTCTCGCCTTTATCTGCGTCAAGGGCCGACGCTTATGGGAGTGGTTGGGTGCATTTAATCCGGACGTGACGTTTTGCCAGAGGAGTTCGGTCGGGACGGAGGTTACGAGTACGTTCGTTGAGCCCGGCCTCGAGCGAATTGGAGAATTGAAGATCCGTCTGAGGCCTTTCGGGGCGAGGCCTTGGCGAGAGGGTCTCAGCGAGAGGGCCTCGGCGGGACGTTTTAGGCCTGTTTCGCATGAGGCCTCGGCGCAAGGCCTCGGGCGAATCGGAGAATTCTGCCGAGACCTTACAGTAGTCTTTTGGCTTTGGTTTTAGCAAGGCTTAAGCAATATTCTTGGATCTTGCTTAGGGTACCCCTTCTTGTGGTATCCGACAAAAACCCTACCACCAAACCAAAGACACTTTTCCAAACCCTTAGGTAGTGTTTGGGTGTGTGGAGGAACAGGGACGGGATGGGATGGCCTCGGGGGCGAGCGCTGTTTGGTTCAGAGGCAACCGGAGGTGAGGACGTCCCACGAGCGAATATTCGCACAAGATTCGGGCTCGCTTTACCCCCAAAAAACAAGCAGACGGGGACATCCTCGGTGGGACGAATGCCGCACGCGCGCGTGAGAAGAATGAGACGATGAGCGGGGGCTTGCTTGCAGTTGAGGGAGAAGGAAGAAGTAGGGACTAACCAGAGTTGCCGGAGTTGAGGAAGAAGCAGACGAGCGAGCCCTGTGCCACCGCCTCGCGGACGCGCTTTGCCATACCCGGTCGCTGGTGAGTGCGTGGGCTCTGCCCCGACCCGCCTCCTCGCGCACGAGCTCTGCCCCGCTAGGCCGCCAGTGAGCGTGCGGGCTCCGGCCCGACCCGCCTCCTCACAGGCAAGCTCTGTTCCGCCCGGCCGCCAACGATCACGCGGGCTCCGCCCCGCCCTGCCGCTGAGCGTCGGCCCCGTATGGAAGAGGAAAGGAAGGAGGAGCTCCTGGATGCGTCCATATGGAAGGAAAGGGGAAGGAAAAAAGACTGGCACGTGGGCTCCACTTGTTAGCAACTGATCTCACTTTTGGTGCCCTCAAACCAAACAAAAATAAGTTGATTCCGTCTCTTCTCAACCAAATAGAAATGGAATCATCCAATCTAGAAATCAGAGACGGTACCATCTCACGCCATCTTGTCTCCCACTATCATTAATATCTTTAGCCTGAGCCTTCTACTCGATATTAAGAGAGTTTTCCAATTAATATTTTCTGTCTCTTTTGGTTGAGAGTAGCGGTGAAATTAAACCCCTTTGCGGAGGCAACTTTCTAATAACGTATCCAACCACAAACTTGTGAGGTACGACACACTTAAGGAGTTCGAATTTCTTTACAATGCATTGTGTCTCATGAGCTTGCTCAACTACAGAATGACCGTCTTATAGTCATGGAAGCTCTCCATGACGTACAATTCATTGATTGCGTCTAATTCACCGAATTTAGCATTTAGTTCATCCCACAACTATTTTCCAGTCTTTTTATGTGCATGTCATATCTACCAAGACAATCGGCAAGAACTCCAAGAACACATCCCACAAAAATAGTATTGACTTCCTCGAATTTTCTTTGATACTCATCAGAGATATTTTCTTCACACATGACGTTACTAACCCGTAATACTTTCACGACCTGCAGCCAGAGTGTGATCTTCACTTACCATCTCTTAAAAGTGCACACCAATATTTTTTCCGGCCTCGGTGCATCAACAAAACCATCCATAGTTTATTCAAGAAAAGGCCTACGATAAGTTCATTTACCATTCTCGCACGAGCTCGACCGGCCCCGCGACGGCTTCGAGGACCGCGGTGGCGGTGGGTTTGGCGACAATGACCACCGCGGGCTGCCCAGCAGGGGGTCGGATCTCTACATGCCCTCCTGCACCGACGAGGATCGCGATTGAGATATGCACAGTGGGAGAGCATGGGGAGCTTAGCGAGACGGTGATTCCGGCCACCATATCCACATCCAAGAGCATGGGGAGGGAGAGGATGATGATGGGAAGCTCCCTGGTGGCTCACCTTGGTTGGCTCGTCACCGGAGATAGAGATCAGGCCGATAGCCGGCGCATTGTGGAGAGAGAAATTGGGGAGAAAGAATATAAAGGTGCCGACAGGTCCTGCCCCCTCCCCACGCGGACGCTCTGCACAGAAAGCATGCCGAGGTGTCGTGCTTCGTCCAGCACCTTGTTGGCCTCCCACACGACCGCCATTGTTGCCCGGCGCAGGTGGAAGACAGAAGAAAGAGAGGAGGGAGGAAGAAGGTGCCTACAGCTGGGCCCCTCTAGAAGTGACCTGAAGAGAGATAGGTGTGGGTGTAAAACAGACTTTTCAGCACGTCTCTGTTCGGGACAGGCCAGGATCCATGCTGGCACGGTGGCGTCAGCGAAAATAGCAAAGTTACAGGCCAGTTCCTGTTTTCCTAGTAAATTTGTAGTTATCACCGTAAAATTGGCGAAGGAAGAGATGCCCACAATATCAATAACAATTAATTAAATATCGTCGCATATAGGGTTGAGAACGGTTGGGAACAGTCGGAAAAACACCGTAACCATTCTCGCTCCTGCATTATATGACCGGGAACGGTGGCGGGAACGGGAAAGCCGGACGGGAAAACGAATTCGATATTACGGGATATCGGGAACAGAATACTTCGATCGGGAACGTGTCGATTACGATCGGGAATCGATAACACAAAAACGGAAACCTCGATATACATGTAACCACTTAAAACAGTTAGCTCAACGCAATAATTGTAACCATGCATTGAAGCATATACGGATAAAAGCAACACAGAATGAAGCAACTACACACAGTACATCACAGTTCACAGGCAATGAAGCAACAATCACATAGCACACAAGTCACAGCCGTACATCACAGTTCACAGGCAGGCAAGGCAACCACACACAGGCAATGGTCCAACACTCGGCTCACTCACAGACAAGAGACAACGAGACAACCTACTGGTCCAACACTCAACTCACAAGTACAAGTCCAAATTAAAAATAAAACATGCCCAGCTGCCAAGTGCCAACAGCCAAACACACAATAGATGAACATATCATAAGCAGACAACACTACATGTCAAAGAAACCCAGATCATCTCCATGTGGTCCATCTCCTTCGTCATCGCTGTCCGCGACATCGTCGTCCTAAAAAAATAGGAGGCATCAGTGTTGGAAAGAACTGATCCAGCCACAGCCCAGTTATCAACTAATATGCAAAATCATAGACAAGGGTGAAGCTCTGTCCCTCTGTTATTCTGAATCAAGATATATGTAGGAAGCATATGTAGCACATGCATGACACATAAAGTTCTTAAGTTTAATAGAATCTTTATTTTTAAGTTGCTTTAATTTTAAGGGTGTCAATTCACTTCTAGGTAAGTTTTTTTTTATTTTCATACTTACTTGATTTCTAAGTTGTGCTTATTTAGATTTTCCAAAAACTCCTGACAGTTTGTTTCTTACTTTGAACTTTTCTGCTCAGTTACCAACTCACAGTTGCTTGAAGCTAACCTTCGGTTTAGTTGCTAATAGTCTATCAAGTGATGTATAAATACTAGAATTATTATCCTTTCCCCTAGATTAGAACTCTAGAGTAAACACTAGTAGTCTAGTACACTACACAGCCCCAGCCACATACAACAGCAACATATATATAACAAACAATGTAGCCAAATGACTAGATAACTCAATTGACAATACCTCAATGTTCAGCTTTGAAACAAGGGCCTCAATAACTTCAAGATCACCAACAATAGAACCAATCTTCTTATCTGAAATTTAAAGTAAGCCAAGACTCATATATCAGCAAATATGATTATGATAAAATATTATACAATTAAAACTAAGATGCTTTTCTAACCTCTTCTTTCTGCAGCAACCCAATCTTTCATGCATATCAAAGCTTCAACCATTTCAGGGTCAAGGCGGCTACGGAAAGGATCAACAACACATCCACCAGCGCTAAAAGCAGACTCAGAAGCCATAGTTGAGACTTGTACAGCTAGCAAATCACGAGCTATTTTTGAAAGAATAGGATACTCATCGGTCTGGTTCTTCCACCATGCTAAGATATCAAACTGACCACTGAGCCTCAGAGGCGGATCTGCCATGTACTTGTCCAGCTCATTCATATCATCAGCACCATGCCCACTAGACTCATACAAGAAGTTCTCTAGTTCATCATCTCCACTGTCCACTAACATGTCATATGTATCCTTAGCATCATTTGATCCACTTTTAGGCCTTGAAGATGAAGGAGCAGTAGCAGCATAGAACTGGTACAATTTTTTCATGACATCAACAAGTTCATCAACATGAACTTGAGATGAGATGCCATGGAATTTTCTCATGTAGAACTCGATAAGCCTTTTCTTATATCTAGGATCTAGAAAGCAGGCAACAGCAAGTGTAGTGGATGATTTCTTCCAATATCTTTCAAACTTCCTACTCATAGAAGTAGTCATTGCACTAATAGTGATATCTTAACAAACAAACCATTCATCTAGTAAAATCTTTATCTCACAAAACCCTCTATAGAACAGATTTACAGTTGGATATAAAGTACCAGACAACAGTTCAGTGAGATCAAAGAATTTCTTCAAGCATTGGAACAATTTAAATGCCATGGCCCATTCACCAGGAGAAGGAGTGATTTTTTCATACCTCTGACGATCCGATGATTTAAGCCTCATGAATGCATTCTTGTAGTACAAAGCATCTCGAAGCATCGACACGTGGAATTCCATCTGGTTGACACATCAAGTGAAAGACCCTTGTTTGTATCCAAATTTACACTCAGCCTTGCACGCTTCATGAGCTCCTCCCGTTGCAATGGGGATCCCTTGACAGCAAGAACTAATTGTCTAATATTCTCAATTGTGGGTGTGATTACACTCAAACCATCCCTAACAACAAGGTTCAGTATGTGACAAGCACACCTCACATGGAAGAATAGTCCATCACATATCAAAGCCGTTGAACTAGCATTGTCCCTTAGATCAGAGATGATGTCTTTGACTGCTACTTCATTTGCTGATGCATTGTCCAAGGCCAGAGCAAACATTCTCTTATCAATATACCACTTAACCATAAGTTCAGTAAATGTCTCAGAGAGCTTTGTACCAGTATGATGGCCCTGTACATGCACAAAGTTCACAATCCTTTTCTGGATATACCAATTGTCATCTATCCAATGTACAATTACACACATGTATGACTTGTTTTGATTTGAAGTCCACATGTCCATGGTGGCACTAAATCGACAAGAGACAGATTTGAACATGCTATACAACCTCTCCTTTTCAGCTAAGAACATGTTCATAATTTCTTTCCTAATGGTAACACGAGATCTGATTGGAAAGGTAGGACGCAAGGATTTGATGAAATCAACAAAATACTCATGCTCGATATATTAAATGGGTACTCATGCATGACTATTGCCAAGTAAAACTTTCTCAAGCTAGCCTCTTCATCATACCCATGTGGTACCACAAAGACCATGTCTTTCCCCCATCTTTTCCACTTTGAGCTCTGTCACCGGCCCTTCACTATACTATGTGCCACCCTCGGATGGGTCCAAAATCTAGTTGTTCCATAGTTGCTCTCACATCTGCCCTTGTGATTGCATTTGGGCCAATCATAATAAGCCCACATCTAAACATATGTCTTGCCATTATCCTCAACGACCACTCTCTTCTTGGTAAAATCTTGCCATACATTGGATGTGCACCTCTTGTGCCTCTTTCCACAAGGTACATCTCCCTCTTGCACAGGCTCATCATCAATATCAGCATTGCACTTGGATACTTGTTCCAAAGAAGAACAAAACCTCTATCACTTGCACCAAGAGCCCCTATGTCACTTGCAACAAGAGACACCTAGATCACTCAAGACTTTTGACAGACGTATGTCACTTGCAATGGCGACCACCACCAAAGACCTTCTAGGCCATCCAACCACCGCCACCATGGGGAGGGACTTGGACTAGATGCGGGGAGTTGCACTTGCAGATGATCTGATGGCTACCAAGATCTTTACCACAATTACTGTGGCTTTCACTTGACCTCTTAGATCCTACCAAGACAAGAATAGAACACAACAATATGAATCTAAGACACCAAGATGAATCAAAATGACCAAAGTAATTGGACCTTACTCAATTACTTTTACTCATGCATCTGTTGGTTGCAATTGCAATATGAATCTAAAACATTCATTTGGGAATCAAAATGACAAGAGTAATCGGACCTTACTCAATTACTTTTACTCATGCATCTCATTAGTTTGATAGTTTCATCTAACACACAAGCAATAAAACACAAGGGACAATATTCATCTGTTAGTTTCATCCCTAACAACAAGCAATCCCATGTAGTGATTCACACATCTAACATCTTTGCCAATAAATGAAACATACACTAATTCACATCTTTACTGCTTAGGGAAAAGCGCGCGAGGGTGCTCTTGCTCACCGTGAGCTTGAGGCGGATGAGGCCGAATCTGAGAACCGAGCTTGCTCACTTGGTGGTGGCTTCATCTTGGCATTCCAGCACCCCCCCAAGTCATGGATCTGTTGTCGCCTCGTCGGACGGGCAGCGGCCACCGCCACCGGCACCAGGAGGGGCCCCAGGCCGCCATGCGCCAGAGCCTGTGAGAGGAGAGCTGGAGAGGCGCTTGAGAAGAGAGAGACTGAGAGTCCAGAGAGGGAGAGCCGGAGAGGAGGGAATGCGGCGCAACAGTTCTGGCCCCAAGGCTAGCGGCAAGTCTTGAGTGACCCAAGAGGCGAAGATTGGGGATTTGGGTGCTTAGGGTTTATGGCATGCGAGCAAGTTGAAAGACTTTTCAATGCGTCTCTGGGTTCGGGTTTGGCGACAGGATCCATGGTTGGCACGGTGAGTTGGGCAGCGAAAATAGAAAAGTTTCAGGCCAGTTCCCGAACAAATCTGGATCCGCTAATTCGTCAAAATCACTGTAGATTTCACCGTATTCGCCAATTTTCCCGGATTTCTTCCCGATTTCGTTTTCCTTCCAGAGATGCCCACATTCGGTATCAATAACGGAATTTCCGCCCTAAACCATAGTCGCATAGCCCGACAACTGCCGTGGGCCCAACGGGTAGTTCAGATAGGCCCAAAACTATCCTGAAATGTAGTCCAACAAACTTACTAATTATCATTTGGAAAAAAGTCTATTTTATCTTTCTAAATTATCCTCGAAGTTTAGTTTTTCCCCTAAACTTAAAAACCGAGTAAATCACCTCCCTCAATTTTTAAAACGGTTCATTTTACCTCCCTAACCTGATTATAGGTGTTTTTAAAGGCGGTTTTGTCTTTTTTTATTTTATTTATTTTGGCTGAATATTTGAAAAATCATAGTTAATCATAGAAAAATCATAAAATGGAAAATCCATTTTTTTTTGCTCCACACAAATAGATCTATGCAGTAAACATATAATATGATATGCTTTAATACAAAGTTTTTGCTGTAGTTTTAGATCTATGATTTTTAGATCTATGATTTTCTGTAATTAATTCATAACTGCAGTTTCTATGGTCCAATTGTGGTGAAAATTTTATGGTGGTTTAATTATTGTATGCTTTAACTGTAGTAAAGATTCCATACTCGTTTCTATTTTTACACACTTTTAACTATTTTAAAACTATTTAACAAGTATAAAACTAAATAAAATCTATAACTCAGTTATACATGATCCAATGAAAATGAAATTTTTACAACAGTTCAATCATATAATAATTAGCCCACTATAAAAAATTTACTACAATTGAACCATATAAACTACAGTTTTAAATTAATTACGAAAAAATATATCTTAAGCTACAGCAAAAACTTTATAGTAAAATATACCCTATTATATATTTACTATGTAGATCTACCCTCGTGGAGTTAAAGAAAATTGGATTTTTATTTTATAATTTTTCTATGATTCTTTATGATTTTTCAAAAATTTAGCTAAAATAAATTAAAAAGAAAAAAAAAAAACTATCTTTGAAAACTACCTCTAACTCGAGGTAAAATAAATGGTTTTAAAAGTTAACGAAGATGTTTTATCCGGTTTTGAAATTTAATGAGGAAAATTAGACAGTTCAGGAGCTAAAATGGACTTCGCCTGCCTCACACCGTCCTGACTCCCACCCCACATCCGCCGTCACCGAGCCCCGACTCGTTGCGTCGTCGTCGGGAGTCCTAGGAGCCTCTCCGCCAGGCGCCCAGACCGTCTCTGGCCTCCCGGCTCCCTCTGGCCTCTGCTCGCCAAGTCGCTCCTCGTCGGACTCCGGTCGTGGCTGCTGCCTGCTGTCCGACAGCTCGCAGCCTTCGGCAGGGGCCTAGGGCGGGTGGGCGGGCGGCTGCCGACAGATCTGGGCGGCGCGTCGGTACTGGCCGCTGTGCGGGTGCGGCGTGTGCCTGTGCGTCCGCCGGCCGCCCGTCTGGAGCTGGACACCAGTCACCACTATCCTCCTTGGCTCCCTGCTTGTGACCGGTGAGCATCTCTGGAATCTTGAGTCTTGACTGGTGACTGAGTGGTGATTCCCTATCTCCATGTCCCTGATTTGCCGCTAGATGGATTGGTCGGTTGGGAGCATATGCCTGATGAATGCGTCTCTTCTGCTTGTTTTGTTGTATGTGTTGGCAGACTAGTATTGCAATCTTCTGGTATTTATGTAAGACCTTATATTACAGTCGAACAATTTATATTGTTATTTATGCAAATTTCAAACTTATTTGTTGAATTTAAGGTATTATGAGTATTTGTAGATATATTATATTTTTAACCGAACCATTTACTGAAATTTTGTATTAGATTATACCATATTGGATAATAAAGTTTTGGTTAGGCATACCCTGGATTTAAATCCTGGGTCTGCCACTGTTCCGCTCCCTCCCCCACTTGCGCTCGGCACGCAGGCGACGGCGGCGGCGCTCAGGCTCGGGCTCTCAGCGATGGCGGGGCAGTCCCAGGCTCGGTGGTGGCGTCAGCGGCTCCCTCTCCCGCCTCTCGCCAGTCACCTCACGCCCTTGCCTCTGGTCCTCCACACACTGGCCGGTGACCCTGCGTGCGTGCCTCCCTCCCCTCCCGCCTCCAGTGGACCGTCCACGGTGCCTGGCCCCGGCGGCTACGCTGCGTGCCGTGTGTGGCCGGCGGGCAGCGGGAAGCCAGCAGCCACTGCTCCACCAAGGCGGTTGCGCTGCTTTGGGAGCGCTTATGCCCCAAAGCGAAGCGTTACCCGTCCGCTTAGCGCTGAAGCGTGTGCTTAGTGCCACTTTTTGGAACGAAGTGGTACATAACTGGTATCTGCCTGTTTGTTGAGACCTGTTGTTTATTTATCCAATCTTCACATCAAATCAATTCATCAAATTAGATATTGTGTGTAGTGTGTACTCATTTTCCTATTGGGTATTTCGAAACTGAATTGGTTGAGTGATCATACCTACTATCGCTCAAGTTTCATCATTTTTAGATCTTAACATTGATATTATGTCTCTGACACATTCCATTTTTAACAAGCAGATAGTATAATCTGATTTTGCGTGGAGGACGCATTTTAAGAACCGAAGTGTAGTCTACAATGGCAGATGCCAGCCCTAGAACAGAAACATCAACAGATGATACTGACGACAATCACGGGGTAAGTCTGGTTGATCTTGATCTGGGGTGTTCAACGCAAATACTATTTTCTGGGTATGTGATGTGACCCGATAATATTTCTAAAGTATTGTGTGAATCATCATTAGTGTTTACAATATGATACCAAACATCACTTTCAGTTCAAAAACCATATATGTACCAATGCTTCCATGTAGTTATGTGAAATCCACTATCACAAGTAAATGATTTGAGAAAGAGCAGCAGTAAAAATTGAACAGGCAAGATGGACCGAACATACAATGGGCATATATGTTTTCTTCTAAGATAGTCCTATAGCTTGTTGTTCCTTCAATTATTTGTAAAGATGGAGCCATGGAGGACGACGTGTGTGTACTGACAGTGGTCTATGCTAGGAAGTAGGAAGTACCAGTTACGTTTAGTTTCTTATTAAAAATCTGTGTTGCGGAATTGCTCTTGCAACACAGGGTACATGTAAATCGCTTCAGGAGTTCAGGGCTCTTGAGTAAATATCTAGAATAAAACTTTGAGACTTAATACTCCCATACACTGTGTAGTGCATGGACAATTAACATAATCCACAAAATTAGGGAGTCCTGAAACTGAAACAACATCATGAACAG